TCAAAGGATTGTTTGCTTTGTAAGATGACTCATCGTCCATTCTAAGCATTCAATAAAAATTATGAGTGATGGATTTTTTTTTTCCTTTTATTTAAATCTATTTAATTTCCTAGGTTTCTCTCTCACATGAGAATAATCCATTTCTTCAGACTCATAACTGTGTTAAACCTGGATTCATGTAGTTCACTCTTGTGATCAGAGCACAATGGACTGTAAACTTGGTGCTTTCATAAAACTGAGAATAATATGTATATATATGCGCATATATGTGCATTGCTATCTGTATGGGATAACTAGAAGATGTGTTATGACTTCAGCAGTCAGTTTCTTCTGCTAAAGCTAGTAAGGCTTCCTGCGAACACCTGATCAGAAAATGCTTGAGGGCTGATGTTAGAGGACCCCAAGTTCTAACTTATTTTTTCAGATTTCAGCAAGTCACATGCATAAATGCACGTGCTTGTTAATTATCACGTCTGTTAACATGTATCAAGAAATAGAACACTTATTCTTCCTACTTTTATTAGGTGCTTGACTCATGGGAAGTATAATGTAGCTGCATAAAACGTTAATAGTTAGAATTTCAGGAGTAATTGCATATGAAACTTTAAAGGGAACAGTTTATTTCTCTCTGAAAGAAGAGTGGAGCTAAATGCGTCCAGCTAGTAATCATGAAATTTAAAATCAAAGTCAAGGATAACCTGGTTTTGTAACAGAGATATCAATAAATTCTTATAGAGAGATAATCTCTTTCATAGATTCCCTTCAATGTTTTCTACTTTTATTCAGCCATTAAAAATGCTGTTTTATTTGGAAAAAAAGTTAAGTTTTGCTCCCTACTTGTATAAGTATTTTGTACAAACAGTCCATAATTATTTTGTCTGGATAAAAACAAATGCAGAACATCCGTGCTTTAGAATTCCTACCAGCCCTTCCTCCCCTTTCAGTTTGGGAAATCTGTTAGATCATCAGGCTTTGTTTTAAGAGAGAGACATCTTTCTATCTGTGATGAATATGAGAAGAGGTTCTATATTAAGATCAATTAATTTTCTCTCAAGAAACAAAGGTTAAAGAACAGGGAAGATAGGGACTGAAGGAGAAAACTGTCTTGTGATCTCTGTGAGACTGCACATACAGGGGCTGTTCTTAATGTCTTGCTGTTTAAGGTTGTGTGCATTTTGTCATGGTGTCAAAGTGCAGTCCTGTGTTACTGAGAGCTTTTGCAAGGTCAGTGTTAGGCTGAAGCAGCTGGTGACAGTGTTATACAGAATCCCACTCTAAAAGACATTTGATCACAAAAATAAATATATAGGACATTAGGGTTAGTAGACTGCTCTACTGTGAGTTGTCAAATTAAAAGCTTAATGCAGATCAGCTGATGAGAGATTGTAGTGCAGCCATTCCTTTATTTAAGATTTTAGCTTTGGCTCCTCTGTCAGGCTTTCCCTTTCAGTGTCAAAGAAATCGGCATGGTATTCTGGAAAAACATAAGGAAATTTAATTAGTTGGATGTATTGGGACTAACCTGGGCTGGTAGTGCATTGTGCTTTTTAGGTTTTTGAATGATCTTTAAGGTTGTTGTAAAAGCCCAAGGAAAAGTATATAGTCATATAAATGCTAGGCAGTCCTTTCTGAAAGGTACAGAGCGTTCCCCAAAACTTACAACTAAGGTTCATAAAATACAGAAACGTACTTGACATTTAATGAGTGTTTCTGTGAATGCAGTAGAACTCTTAAACATTGAATTAGTCTTTAAGCAAACACTTAAAAGTTTAATGGTAGCCATATATATAGATGTATGCCTATTAAATATAGAAAGAAAAACATTGGAAGCATTAGCATCCTTTATCCTGTTGCATCTTCTAGCATTTATTCTATTGGTTGTTTTAAAAGCTTCTGGTCTATTGTTTTGAAGTTCTTGATAAAATTAGTGTGATGCAGTTGCCAAGGATATTTGCCAGAAGTAAAGTTTTAGGTAGTTAAAGGAGGTGGAAGGAAAAATGAATTATTAAAATAAAGTTGTTGCAAGCTGTTAAGCATTTAGGCATAGCTAACTTACTAGGCTTCAAAGCAGGTTTTTATTTACTTACTTTTAAATTGTTGATGGCTGCTAATGGTTCCCACCCCCAAGGAACTGCAGAGAAAGATTATTTTATATAATGGCATATCTATTTCTATAGGGAAAAACTAGTCTGAAAACAGTTATCCCCTAAAAGCTAGAAAAAAACCCAAAAAACAACCCACAACTGATTAAGACTTTTTTTTTTTCCTTTATTGGTTTTAAAAATCTTGTTTTGGTGAGCAGTACAGGTAGACTTTTTTTATTCAATTACATTCTGCCTCTTTTATTTGGTAAGGGAAAGTTAAAACACACATGCAAATTAATTTTTAAATCTGATGAAAGAGGAGAGAAACCACATTTTTCTTGCTGAAAATTAGACCACATACAAATACCGAGCAATTTACTTGGGCTCCTTAGAAAAAGTTAACATGAAATTACGGTAGCAACATCATCGTGATGTATTTAGATAGTTGTTTTTCTATTGTGTGACCGCACGCAAACTTCTGTCATGAGGTTTAGCATTATCAAACATATGTCAAAATATTTTGACTGGTTTTTTTGAATATACAGGGATGATGCCCACACACTCTGGTCATTTTCTATAGCAAAATTATCATGTAGAAGACAATGTGCAATGCACCTAATCAATCATTAATCAATGTACCATGATCCTAATTTCCGATTTTGATTGTAAATAATTTAAAAAATATAATAATTTTATACTGGCAGTGTTACCCCCTCCCCCTCCCAAGGCATTGATTATCATAATGCATTCTCATAATTTTATATATTATTCTAGTTTGAAAATCAAAATCATATGACAAAAGCATGCATGTAGATGGCTGGGCTTTTGTTCACAGAAATCCGTGGAGTGGATGCAGCTCTTAACTGAACATGATAAATAATCTGGCGGTTTACTTTAGACACTAATGAAGCCTTAAAGCTTTTATAACGTCAAATTTCACCAACTTTAGTGATTCATAGGCTTATTTTTGTTATACAGGTTGGTCATACAACTGGCAGTTTTCCTTTTGTGTGATTCTTGGAAATTATTGTACTCTGTTATCTGAACGAAAAGCTGAGTTGTGTGAAGTAATACAACAACATTACTTCAGAAGATTAAAGCAATTCCCAATTGTACATGTATATGTTTTCTCCACTTTTTTTTTCTGTTGATCTAACCCTTGAAGAAAAGGTGCTACATATTGTCATTTTAAACCGCATTTTACTCTGCGTGAAATGTGCTTTTGCACAATTGCGTATCTTCATGGAGCAGTGATTTCAGTTTATTGCATCCTGGTTTATACAGACTAAAATGTAGTATGTTTGTCCATAGTAAGACATAAAGCGTATTTTTGTTATATTGCATCTCCTAAAATCACATAGATTCTAGAATATGCTTTAGTCACTTAGTGTCAAGTCTAATGAAATTTGTATTTAACATTGACTGTTTTCCTTTCAGCTGTTTTGACAGTAGTCATTCTTGTGCTTTCTGTATTAGACTCTGGTAGCTCGGAAGCAACCTGATCTGTGTTTTGTTTTGGTGTGTTGTCTGCTGACCTACAGAACACTTGCATTAGCTGCATTGATCAGTCCGCATCACATCTCATCATTTAGGAGACAATTAATACCGCAGCGTAAAGACTCCCCAGGGCATTTTCTTAGTGCTGGATTGCTTTACACAGAAACCACAGGAGTTGTTTGTGAAAGGGGGAGGAAGCCAAGTAAGGGGGGGGGAAGGGGGAAGGCATTAAGAAAGCTTTGTCTAGGAACCAAGTTTCACTTATTGTGGAGATGTAAACTTATGGCAAACTCCCTTTTTTCATTTGTTGAAAAGACACTATAACAGGTCAAATAAACATGCTAAAAATCTTGCTGTTGGAAATGTGTATTTGGTTGATACTTGTATAACTTATTTTAAGAATATAACCATTTTAACTTTAAATGTTACCTCAAGGATGATTGGATTATTAACCTGACAGCTTTTAAAATAGATTGACATGTTTTAATCCTATTTTTAGTTCTTTTATAATAACATAATAGAGAAAAAATGTTTGTTTCTCATTCTGTCAGTTTTGCTGTGAAGTTTTGCTGTAAAGCTTCTTACACAAAATTGAATTTTAGAATTGCCTGATACTCTTTCTTAAGAAAAAGGTTTTGAAAGATTTTAAGTGTACATGAATACATTAAGTTAATGAGCATGCAGGGCTCTTACTCTGCTGTTTCATCCTTAGGTAATAAAATACTTAATCTTTAGAGATCATCCACAGAAGGAGATGAAAAGCATTTACTAAAAAAGAAAACAATTTTTTCTTGAAAATGACTAAGTTTACTGTACCATTCCCTATTAAAGACTGTGTTGGAGTGTTGTAAGGAGCATACCTTGAGTTGATAACAATAGATGTTACTAAAGATGTAAACTTGATAGGAAGGGACTTTTTACGAAGGCGGTTACCTGCCTGGTACATTTCTCTAATCCTTGCGTAATGCCTGTGATTTTGTGTAGCTTTTCTAAAGAACTATAACTAAAGCTATGATGGTTATTTAATGTTTGTTGGCAATCTGCATAGAATTGCAAATTCTGTGAGGTAGTATACAAAAGATAAGATTAACATGGTTTAACTCATGGTATTTGCTAATATTTCAACATAACCTAATGTTGGGAGTTTTAGTGGTTTTTTTTGTTGTTTGTTTAGGTCTAACTTAAATTATCATATTGGCTTGGAAAGTTACATTTTTGTAGGATCTACACAAATAGGAGTTGTTTAAAACATCTTCAGATCATATGTATGTTATCTTTTGGAAATCTATCATTTGTGTATTTATGGAGGTATTGCTAGTCAGTTTTGCAATTTTGAGTGCCATCTTTATGCTATCATTAAAGCAGTTAGTGGGATCTTGAAAGATGGACATTATTAAGATCAACTCTTGATATTTGCAGGTACTACGGAGCGGGTGTGTCTGATCCAGGGAACAGTTGAAGCACTAAATGCGGTTCATGGCTTCATTGCAGAGAAGATTCGAGAAATGCCTCAAAATGTGGCCAAGACAGAGCCTGTCAGCATTCTACAGCCTCAGACCACTGTTAATCCAGACCGCATCAAACAAGTGAGTTTTTGTGTGGGAATAGAGAGTCACAGCAGCTCCTTAGAAGTCTTAAAAACTTTAAGGCTGTAAGGGGTCAACATAACATCTTCTTTAAGAGAATGTTATTTTACCTTTAGTAATTTGCTGATCCTCTTTTTCCTTGTACTTACTTACATCTTCCATGTTTCTCAGCAGTTCTTTTAGTCAGTGTTTTATGTGTTTCAGTGCCACACTCAAATGTGTTATTTATAAACTTTTCTTTACTGTATAAGGTGATAATACAGTTCTAGGTTTTAGTCAAAGATCACTGAATTTTAATCTTAAATTATGAACCACTTTGTAAATCTTAACATTACTGAAAATCACAGATTAACTGTTTCCTACTTTCATGTATATAAAATAAACCCAAGAATGTTAATCGGGTTTTTTAGACCCTATATTAGGTACTTTAAAATCTTACCTGTGAGGGCTTGAAAATACAGAGTTACTTTACTTGGGATATTTTCTAATATTTCCTATTATATTATTTTTGACATCTTTTTGCCTCTTTTACACTGACTTCTTTCAAAATCTACGGGCAACGCAAAATATATTTGCAAGGCATTATTGGTCTAGTATTCCATAGTTCATTACATTTTCCAAAACAATTTTAATTATGTTAATTTAAAAAAGGAAAGAAAAAAAGCCCTGTAAGGAAACATCTGTCATACAGGAGTTTTAATTATTTTTCCATTGTATTGAGTAAGAAAAAGGAAGAAATGAGTGAACATTAGTGAAATTTTGTCATGTCTTTCTATCTTATATAGAATAGATTTTAGTTTCTCACCTGTCCTATATGGGAAAAGATTGTTTCATCCTTCTGTGCTAGCAGATTCAGTGTCTGATAAAGTAATTTGGTAATTGTATGGTATTACCTTACTTCATATATAGTGACATATACAGAATGCTTATATGAAGATGTGTTTGAACTGGATGAGTTCAGAACTATCAGACTGCTTTAGGTGGATGCAACTGTGCATAAGCCATTGTATATTTTTTCTAATATTTACTTCTGTTTTTTTCTGTATATATGATACTTTTAAGTAAAAAATAGCCTAGATAATTTATAAGAAAATACTAAAAAGAAAAGCCCCAATTTTACATTATTAGTTTCTCAGTTATTTAGACATTAAAATTATTATGCCTGAGATAGGAAGAAAAAGCCGAAGTGATCAGTATCTTGAGTGAATTTTCTGCTCATAAAAATGTTAGATTTTATGCCAATACATCTTAACCCAATGGGAAATGAGTGTCCTCTGTTACCATGAAAAGTGCCCCCTTCTCAGTGAAATTAAGCTAAATTTTAGGCAAGTCAGTAAGATTCTGAGAAACTAGATTACAGACCCTGGCTAGTGAGACATGCAGAAGTATTTCCTCTCTGGTATCTGAAATTGATACAGCTTGTCCACAGTAAGTCTCTAAAAAAATTTTTTTTAAGTTGTTGAGGTGGGGGAGGGGAAATTGTTTTGTTTGCATTTTGTTGTTTGTTTTTTTTTAATATATATTTTTAATATTGTTTGTTGGGGGGTAGTTGTTTGTTTTGGGGTTTGCTGTTTGTTTTGGAATTTTTGAACATAATTCCATGTTTTAACAGAGCTGCTGCTAGTGAAGTTAAGACACAGACTAAACACAATGTATAATTTAAAGGTCTGTGACTTATGACTGGTTCTGTGTCTTGAAATTTTAAAATGTATTGCCTGTATACATACAGGTGCATAATTATGTGCCTGCAAGTAGGTGGAGAGATGCATGCACATGTGTTGAGCAGTTTTAGCCACAATGAGTTACTTCTCTTTTAATGACGCAGTATCTATTCATGATAAATTCATATATTATAAATACTGACTCAATGAATCTAAAATTCAGGCTTTTTACCAATAAGTGAAATTGCTAGATTAGTTCTTAGAGTTTTCAGTAAACTATTGGCTGATGTCAGAATAACTTGTATCTTATTTCATATATAATACAAGCCATTTTTAACTTGGCAAAAATAAGCGTTATGAATTACAAGTTCTTCTTTTACACTAACTTTAACATGGTTCCTTCTGTCTTAGCTATTACCTAAGAACTTTGTCACCCCAAAGTATTACATCGTAGATTGAAGAGACTTAGCATTTTGAGTTTGAGAATTGATGTGTAATAACAAATTTTATCTTCATTAAGGACTTTGAAGATACTTCTGTTGGTTTTCTAACTATTCCTACCAAAGAGCAAAGGTAGTTTTCTTCCCATGAATGACGATACCTGTAGTTAAAGCCTTGCAGTGCCGTGCATGTGTATATGCATCTCTCATTTCCCTATCCTCGTTTCTTTTTCCTGTACTGCTTTACCAGCACTCACCTCAGAGAAGTGAGCTAAGAAAGGAAATACCTTCTAGCTACAGTTTCAATGAAGACGGACAGTAGGTAAACCCTTTTCTGACTGCTTAAGTTTCAGCACTTTCTGTCTTCAAAAGAGGCATGGGTGTACATGGAGGATGAATCAGGCTTAGCATTTCTTCTTACTAGTGTAAGTCACTGGCCAAACTTTCTGGTCTCTCTATCAACCTTTTCAGCACTAGAAGATTTCTAAACAAGTCTGTCTGGTTCCCTTTGAGCTTTCTCCACTGCATCTTTCCACATCTCTTAATTCTAAGGATTAATCAGTAGATATTAGGTAGTTTTCTTCTCCAGGCAAGTCTGATAGATATTTAATTGACTAATATTTGCATCTTTTATATCTATATAACATAGGTAATCTCCTCGTAGATGTCAGCCATCTCCTGTTTCCTATGTAAAATTCAACAGTAACCAACTGATTCCTGTGCCCTTTTACTTCCCAGAAACTGCTGTAAGCATCTCATCTCCCTTTTCTCTCTTTTATTACTTGGAGTGTCACACCAGCTCTTCCAGACCATATTCTAACCCAGAGGAACAGAACACAGGTTTCATAAGGGGATCAGGAGCCTAAGATGTTTCAGCTTTATAATTAGAATCATAGAATCATAGAATAGTTAGCGTTGGAAAGGACCTTAAGATCATCTAGTTCCAAACCCACTGCCATGGGCAGGGACACATCACACTAAACCATGTCACCCAAGGCTGTGTCCAAGGTGGCCTTGAACACCGCCAGGGATAGAGCATTCACAGCTTCCTTGGGAAACCCATTCCAGTGCCTCACCACCCTTACAGTAAAGAATTTCCTCCTTATATCCAATCTAAACTTCCCCTGTTTATGTTTTAACCCATTACCCCTTGTCCCTAATGAAGAGTCCCTCCCCAGCATCCTTATAAGCCCTCTTGCTGTAAGGCTGCTATGAGGTCTCCACACAGCCTTCTCTTCTCCAGGCAGAACAGCCCCAGTTTTCCCAGCCTGTCTTCATAAGGGAGGTGCTCCAGGCACCTGATCATCCTTGTAGCCTTCCTCTGGACTTGTTCCAACAGTTCCATGTCCTTTTTATGTTGAGGACACCAGAACTGCACACAATACTCCAGTTGAGGTCTCATGAGAGTAGAGTAGAGGGGCAGGATCACCTCCTTCAACCTGCTGGTCACGCTTCTTTTGACACAGCCCAGGATATGGTTGGCTTTCTGGGCTGTGAGCCCACACTGAAGCCGTCTCATGTTCATTTTCTCATCGACCAGCACCCCCAAGTCCTTCTCCACAGGGCTACTCAGAATCTCTTCTCTGCCCAGCCTGGAGCTGTGCCTGGGATTGCTCCGACACAGGTGTAGGACCTTACACTTGTCATGGTTAAACTTCATAAGGTTGGCATCTGCCCACCTCACAAGTGTGTCAAGGTCCCTCTGGATGGCATTCCTTCCCTCCAACTTATCAACTGAACCACACAGCTTGATGTCATTGGCAAACTTGCTGAGGGTGCACTGAATCCCACTGTCCATGTCAGCAACAAAGATATTAAATAAGACCAGTCCCAACACCAATCCTTGAGGGACACCACTTGTTACTGATCTCTAGTAAGAGACATTGACCACAACTCTTTGTGTGCAGCCATCCACCCAGTTCTTTATCCACCAAGTGGTCCACCTATCAAATTGATGTCTCTCCAATTTAGAGACAAGGATGTCGTGTGGGACAGTGTCAAATGCTTTGCACAAATCCAGGTAGATGACATCAACTGCTCTACCCCGTCCATCAGTTCTGTAGCCCCGTCATAGAAGGCCACCAAATTGTTCAGGCAGGATTTCCCCTTAGTGAAGCCATGCTGGCTGTCACCAAGCACCTTATTGTTTTTCATGTGCCTTAGCATGCCTTCCAGGAGAATCTGCTCCAAGATTTTGCCAGGCACAGAGGTGAGACTGACTGGTCTGTAATTCCCCCTGTCATCCATTTTCCCCTTCTTGAAAATGGGGGTTATATTTCCCTTTTACCTGTCATCGGGAACTTCACCTGACTGCCATGATTTTTCAAATATGATGGCCAGTGGCTTAGCAACTTCATTTGCCAGCTCCTTCAGGACCTGCAGATGGATTTCATCAGGTCGAATGGACTTCTGTACGTTCAGGTTCTTAAGATGGTCTCCTACAGTGGGCGCAAGTTCTTCATTCTCACAGTCCCTGCATCTGCCTTCCAAGACTTGCGTAGTGTGGTTAAAGCATTTGAAGACTGAGGCAAAGAAGTCATTGAGAGTCACAGCCTTCTCCCAGTCCTGTGTAACCAGTTCTCCTGATAACTTCTTTGGAGGGCCCATGTTTTCCCTCATCTGTCTTTTATTTGCAGTGTACCTGTAGGATCCCTTCCTGTTACCTTTAATATCCCTAGCCAAGTTTAAGTCTAACTGGGCCTTAGCTTTCCTAACCTGGTCCCTAGCTTCCTAGACAACATCTCTGTATTCTTTCCAGGCCACCTGTCCTTGCTTCCACCTTTTGTAAGCCTCTTTTTTCCTTTGAAATTTCCTTAGCAGCTTCTTATCCATCCAAGGAGGTCTCCTGGCCCTCCTGCCGCACTTCCTTCTAGTTGGCATGCAACACTCCTGAGCTTGT